TTCTAGTCCCGCCTTAGGCACGAAATACCATCTTTGTGATTTCGAGCCAGCCCTTCCCCCTCAACCGCCACCCACCTTGCAGGGTTGTTGTGGGGAAATTAGGAGGAGGGTTACGTACATTCACCGCTGTCTGGAGGTGTTTGTAAAAATAATAAAAAGTGTGAAACAACCAAACAAACCGGGATCTGCTTTCCTGGCTTCCAGTATTCCCAGGGGTGGGATTCCAAAATTCCCAGCCACTGCTTCGCTGCCTGGCTGCAGGAAGGGTGGGGCCATGGTGGACTACCAGAACCTCCTGTTTCTGGCTTCCGGTGGGCCTCCAGAGCCTGTTTTCGTCCTCCCAGAGGCCCAGGGGAGACCTCTGAACCCTCCCCCAGTGTTGTGGTTCACCGGCAGCAGGTGAGGACGGCTGAGGCCTCGGACTCAGGTGAGGGGCCTGCCTGTGAGGCAGGGATGGGGCCAGGACCATCAGGGAGTGGAAGGCTGCCTTCGGAGCTTGTGGGGGCTGGCAGCAGTGAGGAAGAGGCCCCCGAGGAGCCTGTGCGCATGCACGCAGGGCTGCTCGAAGGGAAGAGCAGCTGCAGCAGCACAGGCGACTCGGGAGTGAGGCTGCAAGGTCACGGCCCCTCCCTTAAGGGATAAAAGCCAGCCTTCGGGGTTGGCTTCTTTGCAGGAAGCAAACAAGTTCTTCATGCTCAGAGTTCTCATCCTCTGGTTTGTTTTTGGAAACTTCTGGCTTTGGGATATTTACCTGCAATTAAGTCTTTTGTTCTTGGCAGCCTCTCGCAACCTTGGAAGGGCCTTGTTCTTACCTGGGACAATTAGTTTGGAATGACTCTTGGCTGTGAATGCACAGAATTCACAGCGCTGCAGTAAAAGAGGTTTGTTTTTATGAACAATCCGTTGGTTTGATTGGAACCAGGCTTGGGTCAGACCACCCGGGCTCTGGAAGCTTCCAGAAGGCCCGTTTTCCTCCCCTCCCAGAGCCTCTGCGCAAAGCCTGCACTTGCCTCCATCGAAAATGGGCCACGGGGAGACTCCTGGGGGGGGGGGGGGCAGTCGGTCGGTTGAAATACTGGTTTGCTGAACCAGCTGTAACATCCAGTTCGCCCAAACCGTTCTGAACCGGTAGAATCCCACCCGAGTATTCCCCCCCCCCCACCCGAAAGACCGGATCTCCTCTTGCTGCCCCCCCCCCGCCAGATCCTCCCCCCCCCCCTCAGGAGTACCTCAACAAAGTGGAATCAGATTTCAAATAGATTTAATGCACAAAATAATCCTTTCCTGCCCCCCAAAACCTGCCAGAACCAACCACCAGACTCCAACATCTTCCTCCCTCTTTCTTTGCGGTCACCTCCTGCCTGGCTTGGGCCAGGCTGGGCTCCTTGACCCTTCCTTTGGAACCGGGTCTAGCTGTGGGTCCAGTTCCTCCGGCCGCCTGACAAAAGTCTCTAGTCCTCAGCAGTTTAAGGCACATGACGCCGCGACGACAGCCGGACCGAGGACCTCGGCTCCCGTCCTCTCCGTCCTCTCTCCTTCAGTCGATCAGGTACTTCTTCTCATCGTCCAAGCCCGGCCGGTGGCCGCCCGGACAGAAGTCGGAGCGCAGCAGGCGCGAGAAGTACATCAGGATCATGGCATCCAGCAGGACCAGGTTGACCATCAGGAAGGCCCCCTGGCCGCGCATCTCCACGTGGCGCACGAAGAACCAGGTCAGGTAGGCCTGCGGGGCCAGGCGGAAGAGGAAGTAGGCGGCCAGGTTGAGGTACTTGTTGACCTCGTAGAAGACCGGGAGGGGCAGCTTGCCCAGCCGCATCATCATGCGCAGGGTCAGGAAAATGTTGCTCACCTCCACGAACATGGAGAGCAGGCCGGCCGCCACGAAGCGGTTCAGGAGGACGCCGGACAGTAAACCAGAGGCGGCCTGCAAGGGGACCAAATTGGGGGGTCAGGGGGTTAGAAGAGCCCAGGGATCGGAGCCCTGCGGCTGCCTCTCGATCGGTCAAGGCTGACCCCTGCTAAGCCCGGGACCGGCGAGTCCCCTCCCCCGCCTCACTAGCCTTGGCTCAAGCCAGAGGTCGGGTTCAGCCGGTTTAGACCGGTTCTCGAGAACCAGTAGTGGAAATGTTGAGGGGTTGGGAGAACTGGCCAACGCCTCCTCTGACCGGCCCCACCAACCCCGTCTATTCTCTGCCTCCCGTTGAGTTGCCCTGCCCAGGAGAACAGAGCTGGAAAGCAGGTTAGTGGCGTGGGGAGGGGAAGGGGGATTTGGCAGTATATCCTTCCCCTGCCGCGCCCACAGAACCAGTAGTAACAAAATTTGAACCCCGCCACTGGCTCAAGCGCTTCCGGGAAAGAGAAGACCTGCCCCCCCCCATTTTTTTTGAAGAGGGGGGTGTCCGCCTATTCTCCAACGGATGGAAACGCATTGAAGAGAAAGGCAACCTGGAATTAAGGAGGAATTTCCTGACGGGACAATTGTTAACCAGTGGAACAGCCTGCCACTAGAAGTTGTGGGTGCTCCAACATTGGAGGTGTTTTAAGAAAAGACTGGACAGCCATTTGTCTGGGATGGGATATAGGGTCTTCTGCTTGATTAGGGGGCTGGACTAGAAGATCTTCAAAGTCCCTTCCTACTCTGTTGCTTTGTTATTCTGTTCCTCCTCCTCTCTACAGACCCTCCCCCGCTTCTAACCCTGATGATGTTCCCTAGCTGGGTCATGAAACATATGCAAGAGAGCGCCAAGGACCCCGCAGTCATCCTCCCTCAATGAACTGGTGGAACTCCTTGACACCAGAAATTGTGGGTGGAAGCTTTTAAGGAGAGCCTGGACGGCCGTTGGTCTGAAGGGGCGTATAGGGTTTTCGACTTGAGAAGAGGGGCTGGGCTAGGTGACCTCCAAGGGCCCCCCTCCCCTTATTCTGATCTCTCTCTTGGGTTTTTTCCCCCCTCCCGAATCCGCTTCCCTGCCCTTCCCGCCTCCCTCTGGAGCTGCGGAGGGCACGGCCTGTTCCGTGGCTGGCATATTTCAAGGCCCTTCAAGGCCCTCCAAGGCCTCTCTAGCATTTCCAGGCAGGGGAAACCGCTTCCTCTTTCAGGGCCTTTGGGCCTGGTTCTCTTGACAGGCGGCTCCTCTGGCAGACAGAAGCACCGAAGGGAGTTGGCCTCGTGCTGGAGGCCCCCAGGCCCTTTGTGCGGGCACGGGAGCCCCAGGCAAACTTACCTGAACTGCGCAGGCGCGCGCCTCCCAGCTGATTTTCGGGCCGTTTTGAGGCCTCCCAGAGGCTCGGGGGAAGCCTCTGCAGCCTTTGGAGGCTGAAAAACAGGCCCGTTTCATCACTTCGGAGGCTTCCGGAAATACCGGAAGTGACAAAACAGGCCCGTTTTTCGGCCTCTAAAGCCTGCAGAGGCTTCCCCCGAGCCCTCTGGGAGGCTGAAAAAGGCCTGAAAATCAGCTGGGAGGTGCGTGCATGCGCAGTGCCGGTAAGGGGGCGGCAGGGGGGATCGCGCGCTCATGCACAGGGGACATGGGGGGGGGGGGCATTTCCTTCTGGGTGCAGGCATGTGAGCGCGCGTGCCATTTTCGGCCAAAAAGGTTAGCCAACCCTGGGCTACAGACTCATGATTCGAATGGGGGTGGATGCCAGAGCCTTGACACCCTACCCCCCCCC